TTTCCCTACTAACTCTGTGAAGAAAGACTTGACTGAAGCTGGAGTGGACACGCTGGGATCCCGCTGGCACCTGGAGCAGGATCTTGGCCTGGCCACAGCCCCACTGGCCCCTCTCCACTCTTGTTTCCCACCTTCCTAACGCAGATTTGTGCCCCTTTCTCCCCGTTTGTGGTGCCCAGTGACGTGAGGAAGTTCAAGGAGACCAAGAAGCAGTTTGACAAGGTGCGGGAGGACATGGAGATCTCGCTGGTGAAGAACGCGCAGGCGCCGCGGCACAAGCCCCACGAGGTGGAGGAGGCCACGGGCACGCTGACCATCACCAGGAAATGCTTCCGGCACCTGGCCCTGGACTATGTGCTGCAGGTGGGAGAACTGGGATGCCTTCTGTCCCTAAAAACCACAGAGTCACGGGATGTGCGGATCCCAGCCAGGGATCAGCCTGCACAGAAGGGAGACATGAATACTTTGGATTTAATAATAAATGATTATGTAAAATAATATATTATGTTATTGCATTATTATATTAAATTTTATTATTATATTTATATTATATTATATTATATTATATTATATTATATTATATTATATTATATTATATTATATTAATATATAATTATATAAATGATACTATATATCATATAATCATATATATAATTATATTAAATGTATAATAAATATACATTCTATAATTATATTATAATATATTATTATACTATTATATTATATTATTATACTATTATATTATATATATTATTATATTATATATTATATATAATAAATATATATTATATAATAATATTACATAATATATATTATTTTAATACATTATATTAAAATATATTAAATATATTATAGATAAATTATTAATATATATTAATATATAATATGTAAAATATATACTATATAATATATAGTATGTATATATTAATATTAATATATATTAATATGTATTAAATTATATATGTTATAGAATATATATTATAAAATATATATTATATTATTTCTAAATATAAAATATGTTATTACATATAACATATTCTTTAAATATTTAAATATAAAATAATATGTTATTACATTTTTAGATTTAATTCCATTATATAAATTTTTATCAATAACATGTTATTAAATTGTTCTTCTTTATTAATTAAAATATTTAATATTTATATATTTATATATATATAAATATTATTATATAAAATAACATGCTATTGTATTTTTATATTAAATTATATAATATATAATTTATTATATAGAATAATATTTTTTTAAATTACTATAACAATTTATATTATATATAGATTATTATATGAAATAATATGTTACTCAATCATTAGATTAAATTATGGTATGAAATATTATTTGATATTTGAGATTATTTGGTCTCAGTAAGGGAAATAAAGAAACATTTCTCCAGCAGTGATTTTAACCAGTCCAGGTGAGAAAATCCACCTGTTGTGCATTTATTCCAGCTTTTATCACCAAAACCAACCTCACAGGCAATTCCCTGCTGAATAATTCAGGACTAATTTGTGCTGGATTTCTGGGGGTTTCCCAGTGGATTTGGGAGGTTCCTGGGCTGGATTTGCTGCTGGTGCTCAGAGGGGTGTCTCCATTTCCCCCCACAGATCAACGTGCTGCAGGCCAAGAAGAAATTTGAGATCCTGGACGCGGTAAGAGCCCTGAGTGTCTGCAGGAGAGGAGCCCTGGGTGCTCCTCAGGGAGCAAATCCAGCTTTTTTGGGGGATTTTCAGGATGCTGCTTTGCCTTCTCTGTGCCCACAGCAAAGCGGGAGGAAGGAGAAGGAGATGAGTTTGGGAAAGTAAAAGAGAAAGGGTTAAACCCATTTTTTTCTGGTGGGGAAAAGGGATGAGGGTTTTTCACTCTTTGTGCCCACAGAAAGCGGAAGGAAGGAGAAGAGGGATAAATTGCTTTGGGAAGTAAAAGAGAAAGGGTTAAACCCATTTTTTTCTGGTGGGGAGAAAGGGCTGAGGGCTTTTCCCTCTGGCCCTGATGCAGCTGTTGTTTCTCTCCCCAGATGTTGTCCTTCATGCACGCCCAGTTCACCTTCTTCCAGCAGGGCTACAGCCTCCTGCACGAGCTGGACCCCTACATGAAGAAACTGGCCACGGAGGTGAGGGATGGGGCTCTGTGCACCCCAGGAGGTGAGGGATGGGGCTCTGTGCACCCCAGGAGGTGAGGGACAGGCTCTGTGCACCCCAGGAGGTGAGGGACAGGCTCTGTGCACCCCAGGGGGACGGGGGGACTCCCCCTTTCCCGGGCAGCTGCTCCTCTGGCCACCAGGGAACGCCTGCAGCTTCATCCTGGGCTGCTGCATCACATCAAATGTGGCCTTTTGCCTCCTTTTTACCTCCTTTTTGCCTCCTTTTCACCTCTTTTTTTGCCCTTTCCTTACCTTCTTTTTTTCCTCCTTTTTTCCTCCTATTTTCCTCCTTTTCCCTTCCTTTCCCTTTTTTCCTCTTTCTTGCCTCCTTTCTGCCTCTTTTCCCCTCCTTTTTGCCTCTTTTCCCCTCCTTTTTCCCTCCTTTTCCCTTCCTTTTTCCCTCTTTTCCCCTCCTTTTTCCCTCCTTTTCCCTTCCTTTTTCCCTTTTTGCTTCATTTTGGCTCTTTTTCACCTTGTTTTCCCTCCTTTTCCCCCGTTTTTCACCTCTTTTTCTGTCTTTTTTTTTGCCTCATTTTTGCCTCCTTTTTGCCTCATTTTCCTCTCCTTTTTGCCTCTTTTTTTCCTCCTTTTTTCCCCCTTTCCCCTCTTTTTCACCCCTTTTTGGGGCTTTGGGATATTGGGATGTCTGCTGCCATCCCAGACCAGTCTCCTCAATCTCCATCCTGACTTTTCCACCCGTTTTCCCTCAGCTGGACCAGCTGGTGATCGACTCTGCCGTGGAGAAGAGGGAGATGGAGCACAAGCACGCCCTGATCCAGCAGAGGGTGAGCCCTGGGTGTCTCCAGTTCAGGATTTTCCTGATTTTTCTGGCTGTGGGAGGCACGGGGATACACCAGGACCCCTCAGGCTTGGGCACCTGGCTGGATTGTGCCCTCTTCTGGCTTTTCCTTCCCCTTTTGCCTCCCCCTTTGCTGTTGAGGATTTGACCCCTGGAAATTCCTCTGGAAGACAGAGATGGGATTGATGAAAAGCAGCACAGAGCAGAGCTGGTTTTGGGGAAAGGGCAAATCTCTTCCCTCTCTGACAGCTCTGAGCTGAACATCCTCACTGCAATTCAGGATTTCAATTTTCCTGCCTGGAACTGTCCTGAGCTGCTTTTCAGCCTCTCTGTGGACACATTTAATTCCCTCTGCAGCCTTGATTTAAATCAAATTTTTCAAACTGAGGCATCTCAGATTTTCCACCCTTGGTGAGGATTTCCAAGCTGAAGGTTGCAGAAACATCAAACTAATTTATTTTTCTTTCCTTCCTCTTGTCCCTGCCTTGCTGCCCTGGCCCTGCAGACCCTCCTGCAGGTGAGTACCCACCAGGATTTCCTTCCCCTGGCATTTTTATCCCTCTGGATTTCCTGCTCCGGGTATTTACTGACAGCAACACAAAGAAACCTCAGTGAAGTTGGCATTTTAAAGCCCAGCTTGAAGTGGGCTTGGTTTCACTCTCAGGGAAAGTGTTAAAATCAGATTTTTAATTCTGGCTGTGATGGTCACTTGTGGTTCAGCACTGAGGGGACAGCAAGCCTTGGCTGATTTTTTGGTGCCTGGAGATTTGAGGAGCTGGGCTTTGGTGGATGAATCACATCTGGCAGGCACTCAATATTCCATACCCAAAAATCAATATCCCAGGGATCAATATCTGCACTCAGACGGGATCTAAGGGGCCTCTAATGCTCTCCCTCCGAAATGGCACAAGCCACAAAATGGAAATTTGAACTGCGAGGAGTGACATTCCCTGGGCATGGATGAAGTCATGAGGGAGGGGTGAATCCATTTGTGACCCCTCAGCTGCCCTGGGAGCCATGACTTCATCCAGAGGGACTTGGAAAAATCTCTTCAGCCTGGATTTTCCACTTCAGCCCCTCCCTGGCCAGCAGGGAATGAAGCTTCCAAGAGGGACAAGGAGCAATTAGGCTCAGGATCGATCAGGATACAAAAGCCCAGAGCCTGGAAGGGACCTGAACATCCTCACTGCAATTTCACATTGCAATTTTCCTGCCTGGAACCATTTTCAGTCCCTCTGTGCTGCTGCTTCTCCCTTTGTGATGTACCAGGACCCTCTTTAAATAAGATTTTTATTTAAATCAAATCCTTAAAAAAGATTTCTGCTTAAATCAAGGCCGCTGATTTTTCTGTTTAAATCACCTGCCTTGATTTAAATAGGAATCTTCAAGCTGAGCCCACAAAACCCTGGAAAAACTTGTAGATTGTTGTGCTTAATTAGCGTGACGGCACAAATATCTTTATTTTCTCATTAGTGTTTCCCCAAGCAGCCTGCTAAGGGAGGAAATTTGGGTTAAATAATGTGTTTGAAGTGGTTTTGGGGTGGGGAACTGTGATTTTGAAGGCAGGGAATGGGATTGTCCTTGGCTCTCTGAGAGCCAAGTTCAGAAGGAAGTGATCCGCAGCATTTTCTCTCGTTGTTGTTTTAATTAAAAGAAATCTGCTGGGAAAGGAAAATTCATCACAAAATCTGTTTTCTTTCAACGTGGAAAACACAGAGCTGGGAATTTTTCCCTGTGGGAAAAGAGGAGGGAAATGGGAATGTTTGAAGCAGGCCTTGCTCACAGGTCCTGTTTTTCCTGGAACCTTCTGCTGCACCGAAACTGAGGGGAGGGTGGCAGATTTTAGATTGGGAATTTGGGAAAAATTCTGCACTCAGAGGGTGCTCAGGTGTTGGAACAGGTGGAGTCCTCATCCCTGGAGTGTCCAAAAAATGTGTGGAGGGGGGACTTGGGGCGTGGTTTGGTGTGAGCACAGCAGTGCTGGAATTAATGGAGAGCTTTGCCACCTTTAATTCCATGATTTTAGGGACACGGCGCTCTCCAGAATCTACTTCCCAGCCTGGTTCCCATTCCCAGTCTGGAGCAGCTCGGGAATGGAGTGGAGAGCTCTGAGCCTCAGTGAGCCCAGCTGTGGGGAACAATCCCGGGCCCATCCAGCCCTTCCAGCACCCATTCCTGGGGCTGGAATTGCTGGAATTGGTGCCCACTGATTCCACTGATTCCTGGGGCTGGAATTGGTGCCCACTGATGCCTGCTGGAATCGGTGCCCACAGCAGTGCCTGGTTAATGGTTGGAATTAATGATCCTGGAGAGCTTTGCCACCTTTAATTCCATGATTTTAGTGACATGGGGCTATCAAAAACCTCCTTCCCAGCCTGGTTCCCATTCCCAGTCCGGAGCAGCTCGGGAATGGAGGGCTGTGAGCCTCAGCGAGCCCAGCTGTGGGGAACAATCCCGGGCTGGAAGCGCTGCCCCAAGGCTGGCTGTGCTCCAGGGGCCGGGCAGGGCGCACAAGCCGGGCTCTGTTGGCTCCCTGGGAGCGCATCCTGCTCTGCTCCCGGCCTCTCCCTGCCCTCCCCGCCAGCTGTATGCTAATTATGATAATTAAGCCAGCTCCGAGCTGATTGCCTCTCAATAGGAGGCTCGGGAAGGGGGGAGCAGGTGGTCCCCAAGGGCCACCAGGCGTCCTTTGCTCTGTGCCAGAGCCGGAGCTTCCCAAAAGGGAACGGGGGGAGGAGGGAAGGGAAAAAAGAGCTGCGAAAAGCAAATCCCTCCTTCGCTGCCAGCCCACGGGGATGCTGCTCTAGGAGGAGGGAGAGGACGCGGAGCTGCTCCTGCTCTCCAGGAAAGGCACCAGAGCCTCCTTCCCTCGCTCCTTCCCGAAAATGAAGATTTTTGGCAGGCTGGAATATCTCCTGGTAAGGAAAATCCCCAAAGTTTAGGGGTTGGGAAGGGGAATTGTGGCTGTGGGACTTTGGTGTGACCCCAAAGCCAAGCTTAGCTTTGCTGCTGGGTTTACCCCTGGGCTTGGGAAAGCTCTGGAGCAGGGAGAGCCTCTGGCACCGGGAAAACAGGGAGACAAAAGGGTTTGCGAGTGGGATTTGGCCTCCAAATTCCCAAATTCCGGCTGCCTCGGAGGGGCTGGGATTGTCTTTGGATTTACAGAGCCAGAAAAGCTGGGAATTTACACACCAGCAGAGGACACGGGAACGTTGTGTTTGTGCGTGTGTGAGGGGTGTGTGTGCACCTTTAGGGAATGGGAATATTCCTTTGGGATTATTTTGTTGGGAATCAAACAGCCCAAACTGGGCACAATTCCCAATTCTCCTCCAGGAGTTTTTCCATGCCTGGCCGTGTAAATAATGCAGTGAGAGTGGAAATTATGTCATTGTTCAATACTGAGCATTATTGATCACTCCAAGAGGATTCTTTGGGATAAATTCTTTGTCTTCCAAGAGGGAAAGCATTCCCTGTTTTGCTGCTGATGGAAAACAAAATGATAATAAAATAAAATGCGGCGGTTTGGTGGTAGGAAATATTTTTATTTTGATATCTAAACTCAGCTGAACTGAAATGATTCCCTGCCTGTGCTTGCTGAGGTTTGGGGGGGGAGGGGGGTTTCAATCTGTAAAAATCAAGTTGTTGCAGAGAAAATTCTGTTTTATTCAGCATTATTTCAGCCTGGAATGGATAACTGAGGGAATAAGGCTGTGGATTTTCAGGGAATTTCAGGAAGAATCACTTTTGCTGCAGAGATTGTGTTTATTGGAAAGGTTTTGAAGCAAGTGTTGGTGTTTTAGAGAGAGGTTTGATCTGCTTGCAGCCAGGGCTTGTGATTTTGGGGGTAGGAATGAACCTTGAAGTGAGACCTCCCTGCTCCAGTGGGTATGGAAAGCTCCTTCCATAGAAAATTCCCTCCTCCAAAGATTCTGAGCTGGCTCCAGCTTCACTCTCCACATGAAATCTGCTCGCTGGAGCTGGAGGGGGTTTGGATTTAATAATTTCCTTTGCCCAAGGAAGATTTTTGCACAAAATGCTCCTTCTAGAGGGGCGATTGGAGGAACTCTTCTGGGTCTGGAACTGGACAGGGAATTTCCTGGATGAGCCACGAGGCCGCCTTCAAATTGGATTTTCTCCCCCTTTTTTTTTTTTAATCTCTTTTCCTTTTAATTCATTCCTGAGCCCATCTGTGCCCATGCTGGTTTTTTAATTCCCATTTGCAGCTTGGAAATCATCCCCATGAATGTCCTTTTTATTCCCCCCATCCCTCTGGATGTGTCCTGCGAATGTGTCCCTTCCTTGCTGCTCAGTGGGGTCATTCCCGAGGGATCTCAGCTCCCAGGCTGGGAATTCAGGCTGACAGCCCCAGGAACACGATCCCAGGGATTTCCTGGGAAGCACAGATTGATGTCTCATCTGGGAATGTGTCCCATTCCTTGGAGCAGAGCGATCCTGCCTGGCTCTGCTCTTGCTGTCTCAGATCCCAATCCTGGGAAATCTTTTCTGTGTCAGGAATTCGTAGACAAGGAGGTGATAAATGCAGAGTGAATAAATCAGTCCAGAGAGTGTGGGAAGGGTTCAGGAAAAGGTTGGTTAGTAAAATCCTGCAGGAAAATGCTAAAAATCCTGCAGGAAAATGTTCAAATCCTGCATTAAAATCTTGCTGTATTTTAGGGATAAATCTTAGAAGGGAAAGGAGAAAGAGGGAGAAGGTTTTCCACTGCATCCCTTGGGAGTCAGAGCTGCTGCTCTGCCAGCCAGGACCTTTCCATTATTCCCAAGAATTAACAGGATCCAAATTTTCAGTGGATAAAACAGGTCCAGGGACACACTAAAAGCAGCAGTGAGTGGGGAGAGTTCAAGAAAAGGTTTCTTTATTAAAATCCTGCATTCAAATATTGCTGTATTTTAGAGATAAATATTGCTCTATTAGAAGGACCTTTCCATTATTCCCAAGAATTAAGAGGATCCAGGTTTTTCAGTGGATGGAACAGATCCAGGGACCCATTAAAAGCAGGTTTGGCACTTGAGGGGGTTCGTGCTCAGACATTTGGGATCTCCTCAGCCAGAGTCCAAACCATGGCATCAGCTCTCAAGAAATGGTCTGATAATTATTTTTTCCAGACATTTGCAGTGGCTGTGGGGAGAAAATTCCCTGTCTGGGCTGGGACAGGAGCTGGTGTAGGAATCTCACATTTTAAACTGGAATTTGCCCAGTTTTTGTCATGTTTTTCCCTTTCAGACATCTCTGTCCATCCCCCTTTAGGCCTTGGCCTGGCTGAGAACAGGAAAATTCACCTGATCACGGGGATAAATTCAGATTTTTCTCTCCCCTTTCCCTTCATTCGTGTCTCAACACTCCCCAGGGCTTCGTGGCAAAGATTTCAGGCGCTCCCAGCAGTGGGATGGAACAAAGTGTCCCTGAGGCTGCTGGGCAGACTGGTCCTTCTCCCCTCATTTTGGGTGAAACTGGAGTCATTCTTTGCAATTTTAAAAAGTTTAGTAAGGGATAAAAGGGACAATATTTAGTGCTGGTCATGTATTTATCACATTACTCTTTATAGTATTGTTTTTATATATTAACAATATAATATTGTATTATATTAACTATATTAGATGATGTATATGATATGATATGATATTATAATATTATATAATAGGTTATAAATATATTATATATTTATAATTTACTGTTTTTATGCACAGTACATATAAAAACTAACAAATGATACTGTATCAAAAAGCAGTTAAAAGAGATTACAAATGATATCATATCAAAACCTTTGTAATCAAGAATAACTTGCAAAAGCCAACTATGTTGCCATTTAGAACAATTTGTAGCTGATTTCCAAATCCACCTCCCAGCTCTGGGCACTGCTCTGCACTCAGGAATTTTTGGGGATTGGAAGGGAAGTTTTGAGCAGCAGGAAAAGGAACAGAATTTGGCCCGGGGCTCCTTCCCTGAGCCACTTTTGGGGTGGAATGTTCCCAAAGTGCGGCTCAGGGCTCTCCAAAGGCAAGGATCCTTTGGAATCCATGGAAATCCTGTGGGATTTCCCCTTCCCAGCTCCAATCCCAGGGCTGCAGGTGTTCCAAATCCCAGCTCATCCAGGTTAAACTCACACCTGGCTTGGCTGCACTGGTTTTTACTGGATTTACTGGTGGGGCCCATCTGTTCCTCCTGCACTCCTCAGCATTTATCCTCATTTCCACCCGGGAAATGATGGATTCAGGAGGAGGCAGGGGATTGTATTTACACCTTCCCCCTGATTTTAACTCTTCCTCAAAGTGAGGCACAGCCCTTAAAAAATTTCCCTTAAAAAAATTCCCTTAAAAAATTCCCATAAAAATGGGCACTTTGCAGCTTTTACTGAGCTTTTTGGGATGTTTGTGTTTTTCACCACGAGCCCATGCAGACACAAATCAGTGCAGATCCTCATCAAACTCCTGGAATTGTCAGTTTGGAGCAGCCCCATGAAAATCTAGCATCCACGAGCCGCCGGGAAAATCCCTGCTGGGGCTTTGCACCGTGGATGTGAAAGATCTGAGAGGGAAAAACTGAGCAGAAACCCCTGGACTGGGTACCTTGCAGCACTTTCCAGGGCTGGACTGAGCATCCTGCTCCTTTTCCAGGAGTTCCTCCATCCTGTCCCGTTGGATCTGCTCCTCCTGGATCCGTGTTATTCTTGTCCTGACACCTCCCAGGCACATTTGTGGAAATAACTCATCTTCATGAGAGCTGAGTGCTTGTTGCCAGGCAACAGAGCATCTCCAGGGGCTGCTGCCGAGCCGGGAATGGCATTTAGAGGGTCTTGGAACCTTTGGAATATTTGTGCTGGAGAGGGAAGCGGCATCGGCAAGCAGCCGTGGTGTGCCGCGGGGCACAGGAGCGGTTTCGCTTTCCTGACCTAATTTCTCTTGGGAACGAGGCAGAAAATGGCCTCAGGGGTGAGGATGCCGAGCTGGAGAGCAGCTGCTCTACCCTCTGCTCCGTGTCCTGCTCCCCAGCTGCCAGAAATGTCAGCATCCATGAGCTCTGGCTGGGGTGACAAATCGCCTCTGACTGGTGCCACAGGGAGGTGGCATCCAAGGACAGCTTGGGAATGGCAAAGCCTTGGGATTTCAGCTTTTCTATTTTCCATGGATTTGTAACCCTGCAGCTCTTCAGTGCAGAACTCTACACTCCACACACAGTGGGAGCTGCTGCCTTCCCATTTTGGGCAGACACAGCAATTCCTCTCCAGGCCTGGGAATCAAGGACACCTCACTGCCCCAGGCCTGAGAGATGGAAACAAAAGTGAGTTGGGGGCAGCAAACTTGGGGTAAATTCCTTCATTTCCTGAAGCTGGAATTGGAGGATTAACCCCCAATCTGCAAATGGACCCACCTTAAAAAAGGATAAAAACCCATGAGCCGTGGTTCATTCTGGGTGGTTTTGTCTGCCCTAAATGCACCTGAAGGCCCTTTGATAAATAGAACTGCTTTTTATTCCCTTAATTTTGTCTGGCCTCTGTTTTTAGGTAGCCCCAAAAGGCATCACTGGGGCTCTGGAATTCTCCCCTTTTCCTCCTGGGCCAAGGCTGGGGCTGGGTCCATCCTGGCTCCCTGCAGCACCATCACCTCACTCTGTGAGCACCCCCTGCTTCATTTCCCGCCTCAGCCTGACCCAAATATTGGGAATTTTCAGCGCTCCTGAGGATAAACCCTTCTGATTTTCTCCTCATAAGCTGCCAGGGGAGGGAAATGCAGCATGTCCAGCACTTTGTTACAAAAACAGGGATAAATAAATTTGCTGGGATGGGAATAATCCATTACTGCACCTCAGGGACTGATGGCTCCGAACTTGGGGATTTTGGCAGATTTGTCTCTTTTTGATGTTTTATTGAACCATTTCCATCCTGATCCCAGAAATCCTGTCAGAGTCAGGAATCCTGTCCAAAACTTCGAGATTTTGGCAGATTTGTCTCTTTTTGATGTTTTATTAAACCATTTCCACCCTGTACCCAGAAATCCTGTCAGAGTCTGAGTCTCTTTCCTTTTTCCAGGACTTCTCCTACGATGACTCCAAGGTGGAGTTCAATGTGGATGCCCCCAATGGGGTGGTGATGGAAGGTTACCTCTTCAAGAGAGCCAGCAACGCCTTCAAAACATGGAACAGGTGAGAAAGAATTCAAATTTCACCTGATCTTCGGGCTGAGACTCTGCACACTTCCCTTCTAGTGAGATCTTAGCATCACTGGAAGGATTTTGAGCTAAAAGATGAATCATTCAAATCATTAAAATTAGGTTGGTTTGAGAATTTTTGCAGTTTTAGTGTTTTTCACAATGGAATAATGACCAGGATCCTCCTAAGGAAGAGAGGGCCCAGTGCATTTATAGCAATTTACAGGAATTAAAATGCTTTTATAGCAATTTTGAGGAATTAAAGTGCATTTCTAACAATTTAGGGAAATATTCCAACGCAGGGAATGTTCCAGGAGGATCCAACCTGTCCATTTTGGGGTGGGGAGATGTGAGAATTGTGAATTCACATGTGTGAATTTGTGCTGCCAGAAATGGCTTTCCGTGCCCTGAGCCTGCCTTTAGGAGTGGAGAAAATTCCATCTGGGAGCTCCTCTGGAGTTGCCAGAGATGTGGAAAAGTGGGAGCAGAGCTTCACCTTCCACCCCTCCTCGATATTTTTGTGTTTGGGATCTCCTGAGAGGGTCAGGAGTGGTTGTGCAGAAAGATTCTGACTCTTCTGGGGAGTTTCTGATGCCTGGGATCGATGCTGGTTTCAGCCACGTTCCCTCCTCTCACACAAGAGGGAATGAGACAAGAACTGGGGATCTTTTAATTGGCCATGGGATCCACACAGGGCATCCAGCACGGCTGGGCTGTGCTTAGGCTTTGGAATAGATACATGAAATAAATAAATTAATTAAAAGCTTCAACAAACTGGTTTTATGTACAGAAACTGCCTTTGTTTGCATGGAAAAAAAGGGCTTGGAATTAGAGATTTTTGAAAGGGTTGGATAAGAATTCCTTCTCTTCAAATCTTTCCGACGTTGAGGAGATTCCAGGGAAATTTAACATCAGTCCTTGTCCCTCAGGCTCTCTGGCAGGGAGGGAGGGAGCAGCTCTAAGGCTCTGCTGGGGTTCAGAGCTGTGGGGAGGTGTCTGGGCTGAGTTTTTATGAACATTTCAGGATTTCCTGCTCCGTGTTTCCCTTGATCCAGCCTTGATCCATAGCTGCTTCCATCACACCACGTGTGGAGCAAATGCCATCCCAAAATGTGCCAGGTTAATCCAAGATCTTGGCTCTTGGGACAGGATTTGCCTGGAGTTATTCCTCTCCCCTAGAAACTCCCTGGGAATTCATGGATCCCTCCAAAGGGTGCTTATCCTGGAGGGAACACCATCCTCTTCAGCCTCAGCGGCTCCTAGTTTGTTCCCTACCCTCAAATCCCAATTTTCTTCCTGAAATCCTTCCCCAGCCCAGTCCCAGCGGGCAGCAGCCTGCCACAGCTCTGTCCCTGTCTTCATTCCCACCCACAGCCAGCTATTCCCAGCTTTTCCCAGCTCCTGGAGCCCACTCATCACCTCCTCGCTGTGCTCAGCTTCTCCCTCTCCCTGGAGCAGCAAAATCCTCCCCAAATCCCAAAATATCCTGACTTGGAGTGGAGCTGAGCGCAGCCTCTCTGAACCTCCTCAGCTCATCCAGCTCATCCCACACAGATGGAACACCCTCCAGTCACCTGGACTTTCCCATTTTTACCCCACATCTGTCAAATTATTTTATCTGTTTGATGTTTCAGCCGTGACAAAAGGCAGAGAATTCTGTTTTATCTCCTTTTCCCTGACAATTTTTTATTGTTTTTTGCCAGCAGAGCAAAAATTTACATTCATGTGTAATCCATGAATGACTCTGTGCTCAGGTATTCCAGTGTTTTCTTCCTGCTGGGAATGTTTTTCTCTGCTTTCCCTGAAGATGATCAGGTTGTTAAATAAATTAAATGATTTTTAATGGAGGCTCCAACAGAGCCTTGGAGCTGCTCTCTCCTTCCCTGCCAGGGAGCCCGAGGGACAAGGAATGACACCAGATTTCCCTGGAATTCCCTTCCCCTGCCTCCTCAGCACCAGGGGAAGCTTCAAAGAGAAGGAATTCTTATCCAACCCCTTCAGAAATCTCTAATTCCAAGCCTTATTTTTTTTTCCCATGCAAAAAACAAGCAGTTTTTGTGCACAAACAGTTCATTGGTGTATTTTATTTATTTATTTCATCTATTCCAAAACCTCATTAAAATTGTAATTTTTAATGGGAAAGCCCTGATGTCTGTGTGTGTCTGTCCCCCCTCAGGAGGTGGTTTTCCATCCAGAACAGCCAGCTGGTCTACCAGAAGAAGCTAAAGGTCAGTGGGGCTGCCCCAGGTGACAGCAGGGGATTAACCAAGTGGTTAATTAATTAATTAACCAACTGCTTCATTAACCAACTGCTTGGCTGGGGGGTCCTGCAGGGAGTGGGGATTTAGGTCAGAGGGACAGCAAGGCCACAAGCATGCTCCAGGGTTGGAAAAGGGCAGGAAATATTTATTAAAGAATTCTTTATTAAAGAATTGCTTATTAAGTAATTCTTTCATTTGGATTCGATCTTCCTGCTCAGTGCAGGCGGCTGGGGAGGTGCCCAGCAAACCTGACGTGATCTTGGGTGATTTTATTCCCATAAAATCCCTTCCTGTGGCCCTGGAGTTACCTGGGGAGAGGCTGGCTCTGCTCTCTGCACACTCAGCTTGGGCCAGGAGGGGCTGGGAGGGAGTCTGGCAGCTTGGGCAGGAGTTTGGGGGGTTTGGGAAGGAATTTGGGAGCTTGGGCAGGAGTTTGGGGGGTTTGGGAAGGAATTTGGGAGCTTGGGCAGGAGTTTGAGGGGTTTGGGAAGGAGTTTGCGGTGTTTGGGGGGTTTGAGCAGGAGGTTGAGAGGGTTTGGGGAGCTTGGGAAGGAGTTTGGAGGGTGTGGGAAGGATTTGGAGAGTTTTGGGCAGGAATTTGGGGGATTTGGGCAGGAGTTTGGAGTTTTTGGGTAGGAGGGAGTTTGGAGGGTCTGGGCAGGAGTTTCTCAGTTGTGCCCCAGCCCCTCCAAGCCCCCCCAAGCCCTGCTGTGTCCCCCCAGGATGTCCTGACCGTGGTGGTGGAGGACCTGAGGCTCTGCACGGTCAAACCCTGCGAGGACATCGAGAGGAGGTTTTGCTTCGAGGTCGTCTCCCCCACCAAGTGAGTTTGGGGCTCCCCAGGGCTCCCTGGGCTGGGCTGAGATTTGAGCAGAGGCTGCCCTGGCCTGCTAAATTTTGTCTGGGAGATGCCAGAATCCCTGGGAAGTTCCTCAGACTTCCCCAGAAGCTGGATCTGATTGTATAACTATATCTATTATATTATTTATATAGCATTCATTATTTCTGTTGATAATTTATACTTGATAGATAATGCCCAATTCTATCATGCCCAGCTTTTAAAAACAGTTTCCAGACTTGCCTGGAGGGTTTGGATTGGGAGCACCTCTGGCTGTCCAACCTTGTGGGGTTTATTTTTACCTGGAAAGTTTGGAGAGGGAACACCCCAACCTTGTGGGGTGAATTTTGGCTGGAAAGTTTGGAGTGGGAACACCTTTGACTGTCAACTTTGTAGGGTTAATTTTTACCTGGAAGTTTTGGAGAGGGAACACCCCAAGCTTGCGGGGTTAATTTTTGCAATGCCTGTGCTGAGGATGAAGAGGAACAGCCTGACCCCAAATATCCCCTGTGGTTTTTGGCTCCCCTCCCTGCTCTCCAGGAGCTGCATGCTGCAGGCTGACTCCGAGAAGCTGCGCCAGGCCTGGATCCAGGCTGTGCAAGCCAGCATCGCCTCTGCCTACCGGGAGAGCCCCGACAGCTACTACATTGAGGTGAAGGAGGAAAAGCCAGAATTCCCTGTTCCCTTCGTCAGCTTGATGCCTTGGAGTGGCTGCCTGGAACAGAGGCCGGGCAAGGTTAAGAGAATAAAACTGGGAATTTATTGACGGCCTTGGCCAGTCAGAAAGTGACACCCAAGATGGACAATGGTCACGGGTTTTTAGACAATTATAAGTTTGTTTATTTATTTACATACCAGGGGTTAAACCTCCAATTCCAGCTTCAGGAAATGAAGGAATTTACCCCAAGTTTGCTGCCCCCAACTCACTTTTGTTTCCATCTCTCAGGCCTGGGGCAGTGAGGTGTCCTTGATTCCCAGGCCAGGAGAGGAATTGCTGTGTCTGCCCAAAATGGGAAGGCAGCAGCTCCCACTGTGTGTGGAGTGTAAAGTTCTGCACTGAACCTCTGCAGGGTTACAAATCCATGGAAAATAGAGAAGCTGAAATCCTAAATTACCATCCCACTCCTTCAGAGCCACTCCAAGGCATCAAACTAAGCCCAGTTCAGTCTCCTCCAGGTGTGTTCGAGGTGTTCATATCCTGATTTCTTGCTTTTCCCTGCAGAGGCTGGACAGAACAGCCTCCCCCTCCACCAGCAGCATCGACTCGGCCACGGATTCCCGGGAGCGCGGCGGGAAGGGGGAAACAATCCTGCAGAGAGTGCAGAGCGTCCCTGGGAATGACCAGTGCTGCGACTGTGGGCAGCCAGACCCTCGCTGGGCCAGCATCAACCTGGGCATCCTGCTGTGCATCGAGTGCTCCGGGATCCACAGGTGCTGCTGGGCTGCGGGATTCCAGGGGGAAATCCCAGGAAAACAGCCAGGGATTGAGTGCAGGGGTCTGGGCAGAATGGCCAGAGATGGACTAAAAGATTCCTAGGAAAAATGGCCAGGGATGGAGTGCAGGATCCCAGGAAAAATGGCCAGGGATGGAGTGCAGGATCCCAGGGAAAAGAGGCAGGGATGGAGTGCAGGATCCCAGGGAAAATGACCAGGGATGGAGTGCAGGGTCCCAGGGAAAATGACCAGGGATGGAGTGCAGGATCCCAGGGAAAGTGGTGGAGCTGGAATTGCAGCTGATGCAGTTTGTGCCGAGAGATCCAGCAGGAATTGTCACTGTGTGGTTTCTATGCACAGCACCCCTGGTTTAGCTCCATCTGCACAGAGATAAAGAACTGGACTAACCTCATTAGGGAAATTCTGGGATTCTGGAATTGTAATAATTTTTGGATTTTCTTCCTCTTGGCTGAGCAGGAGCCTGGGTGTTCACTGCTCCAAGGTCCGATCCCTCACGTTGGATTCCTGGGAGCCGGAGCTGATCAAAGTGAGTGCTGGATTTTACCAGCCAGGCAGAAATGGTGGGAATCCAGGGATTCCCTGGAATTTCTCAGAGGCTTTAACCTCCTCCCTGAATTTCACTTTCAGCTGATGTGTGAGCTGGGCAACAGCACCATGAACCAGATTTACGAGGCACAGTGTGAGGAGCTGGGGCTGAAGAAACCAACAGCAGGGAGCTCCAGGTGAGCTGTGCCCCAAAATCCATGGAAAAGCAGGTTCAGGGGTCCCCACAGCAGCCCCACTGCCACCAAATCCATGGAAAACCAGGTTCAGAGGGCTCCAAACGCCTCAGGTACCCCCATCCCACTCACTGAACTGGGCTCTCATGGAGGTCAGTGGGATGTTGGAATGTTCCTGGGAACCAGGAATTGCAGGATTTGCCCCCGATTTGGGGGGTATCCCAAATATCTAAAGCTTGTGGTGGTACCTGGGGCTGAACATCTCGTTCCACTCAACCCCTGCACCTTTTGGTCAAGCTTTGCAACAACCAAAAAAAAAGAGACAATTTTAAGTTGGAGAAATGGGAATTTTGGGCCTCAGGTGGACAAAATACCCCAGAGCAGCAGCTCCATCCCCTCGTGGCTGCTTTGGGCAAGTCAAGTACCCCCAAATCCATGAAAAACCAGGCTCCAAATGCCTCAGGTACCTCATCCCATCCCACTCACTGGGCTGGGCTCTTGGGGGGCGTTGGAACATGCCTGGGAACCAGGAATTGCAGGATTTACCCCCAGTTTGGGACCTCCCAAATTCCTGAAGCACCTGGGGCTGAACATCTCAGTCCACCCTCAACCACCCCCTTTTGGTTGTGTTTTGAAATGGGACAAGTTTTAAGTTTGAGAAATAGGAATTTTAGGCCTTGGGTGGACAAAACGCCCCAGAGCAGCAGCTCCATCCCCTCATGGCTGCCTTGGGCAAGGCCAGTTCTCTCAGAGGGCTTAAATGCCTCATTTGGAAGTTTCAGAAATTGGGGATTTTAGGCCTTGGGTGGACAAAATGCCCCAGAGCTCCATCCCCTCATGGCTGTTTCAGGCAAGCCCAGCTCCCTCTGGAAAGGCAGGTCCAGAGACCTCAAAAAGTCTTTTTAAAGTTTGAGAAAAATGAATTTTAGGTGGACAAAACGCCCCAGAGCAACAGCTCCATTTTCATATGGCTGCATTAGGCAAACCCAGCTCCTTCCAGAAAGGCAGGTTCAGAGGGCTGAAATGCCTCATTTGGAAGTTTCAGAAATTGGGGATATTAGGCCTTGGCTGGACAAAATGCCCCAGAGCAGCAGCTCCATCCCCTCGTGGTGGGTTTGGCCAGATTCTCTAAATTGCCGTTCCTGTGCTGCCCCTCCCTCAGGCAGGACAAGGAGGCCTGGATCAAGGTGAAGTACGTGGAGAAGAAGTTCCTGAGGAAGCTGCCGGGCGGGGAGGTGCTGGCGGAGAGCGAGCGCAAACCGCGGCGCTGGTGCGTCAAGAAGTGCCAGAGACACAACAGCAGCTCCAGGGCACCCACGGCACGCAGGAAATACCGCCAGGAACCGGGCAATGCCTCCCCCGCCATGCTGGCCTCAGGTGAGCACCTCCCGCTGGCCCTGCCGAAACACGGCTCCTGCTTGGGAACATTCACTAGTCCTTAATTATATATATATATCTTTTATTCATTCATTCATTTATTATATCTTTAGATTATATTTTTTTATTCTATTTTATTCCATTTATTTCTATTTATTCCATTTTATTATATTATATTTATTATAAATAATATATATTTAATATATATTATTTCTATAGAATCTATTCTAATAAATAATAAATTATAATAAATAATATATTAGTAATATTAATATTATTATACAAGATATAATATATATTTGTTTATCTACTTAATAATGTATTTAATAATAAATATAACAAATAATATATATTTATATTTATAATTACATATATTTATATATTATTATGTATAATGTTTATATATACAATATATAAACAATAATATATAATATTCATATATAAATTATATATATTATATTATAATATATTATATAGATAATATCTATATAAACTAATAATATATAATATTTATATAATAATGTATGATATTTATATATTCATATCATATATTAGATATAAAATATATATAATATAATAAATAACATTATAAATAGTAAATTGTATAAAATTTTATATAAAATGATATATAATGTGAAATTCTATTATGATATTTAAATAATAAATAATAATATATTATATAAAATAATAAGTTTTAATTTAATAATAAATATTAAGTTACATATTGTATCAATGTAATGTTAATGGTAAATTATAATAATAACTTAATGCATTTTAAATAACATTTAATTTAATAATTTTTAATAAGGGATGAAAGGGACAGTGCTGGGTGCTTGCTAAGCTGCCAGAGGCACACCAGTTAGCTTTAAACAATTTTCTTACCTAATTTTTCATTGCATTTGGTTAAATGCATATTGATGAGGATTTTATATATTCAAATTTGCCTTTGAGTTCCATGTTCTGGGAATTCTGCTTGGTTCGACCCTTGTCCTGAGTTCCTAAAGCACGTGTCACACTGCAGGTGGAATTTAGGTATTTTATATCTTCACAAGGTGGTTTTTGGTAGGGTCAGTGGTAAATTCCTCCTTGCATTCCTTCTTTCACTGTTAATTTTCCTGCTGCTTTTCAATACAGATAAGATGCTCCACACATGCATTAAATCACCATCAGCTATTTTACAAAATTATCTGAATTATTCTCACCATTGTCAGCTATTTTCACAAATAAAAGCATTAGCTACTTCTGTAAAAGTTAATATTACACACAGTCTCCATCTTAATATTTACTATTTATTATTAATATTTAATTTTAGTGTTTTACCAAAGCCAAAATATTTCTATATATATAAACATAGTTATAAATGTATAAATAAATGTACATATTTATAATATTTATAATATTTATAATATTTATAATTTAGATTTAAATTTATTTTTAGATTATAAAATTATATTTATAGATTTATAGGTAATTAATGATATCTTAAAACAATTAAATGATCAATTAAATGGCTGGTAAGAAATAGTAATTAAATAATTAATTTAGACTATTACTTATAATACGTAATTTATAATAATTTATAAAAGTTATAAATGATAGTGTTTAAAAATAAACTTATTAACTATATTATATATAATTTATTTATCACACTTAATGCATATATTATATAATATGCATTTATCACACTAATATATACAAGCTACACAGGGTTAGGTGATAAATTATATTATATTGAAGCAGTTAAAAGTGGTTATAAACTGTACTATATCAAAATCGTTGTGATTAAAAATAATAATTTGCAAAAGCTAACAGAACATAGAAAAAGCCAACAATGCATGGTTATTAATAAAATAAATATTTATAAATAAGTATCCCCAAATCCCTGGGATCCCCGTTCCCTTCCGGGACCTGCCACAGCTGTGAGCGAAATTGCACAAATTGTGGTTTTTAAAGCCATTTCCTGATGTTTTGCAGCTGTTCAAGGAGGTTCCTGTGGCTCGAGGGGATCACCAGGGTGACCCTGTCATCTCCAAGCTCGCTTTGTGCACTTTTTGTCTTCAGATTCCTGCTTTGAAACAGATTTTAAATCCTTTTTGTTTTACCTCTGTGAGCGAGGCTGTGCTTAGGAAGGGTTCTGGCTGCTCTGGCATGACTCTGGTCAAAAAATTGTGTTATTTTGGGTTCTTAGGAAGGTTCTGGCTGCTCTGGCATGACTCTGGTCAGACATTTCTGATATTTTGGGTTCTTAGGAAGGTTCTGGCTGCTCGGGGATGACTTTGGTCATCAGTTTGTGCTGTCTTGGTTTCTTTGGAAAGGTTCTGGCTGCTCCCAGAGCTCTGGGATGGCTTTGGTGAGGAGTTTGTGCTATTTTGGGTTCTTAGGAAGGTTCTGGCTGCTCTTTGGTGAGGAGTTTGTGCTGTTTTGGGCTGTGTGACCCCAGTGTGGCGCTGGGAGAGCAAACCCAGCCGGGGAATCGTCTCCTTTGCTCGTCACTAACTCTGAATTTCCCGTGTGAAGCAGCCGCCACCCTGGAGAGGAAGTTCCGCCGAGACTCGCTCTTCTGCCCGGACGAGCTGGACTCTCTCTTCTCCTACTTCGACACCGGGGCTGGCTCCGGCCCTCGCAGTAAGTGCCAAGCAGCTCCTCCCTGCCCTCCCAGCTCTCCCAGCTCGTGCCCAGGCCAGCTATCCCAGGAGAGGGTGACCATTCCAGCACAGGGATCAGGAGTTGGTTGCACAAACTCCAGCCCCATTATTGCTCTTTCATTGCACCAATTTTAATGCCACACTGCCGTTTCTGCCGGATTTTTGTTTTTCCCCAGCATCTTTTACTCCCAGATTTTGCATTCCACTGGCTATTTTTTTTTTTTTTAATTACGTTTCTCATTTTGGCTTTTAATTATTTTTTTATTTTTTATTATTATTATTATTTAGTGTTTTTTTAGCCAAGCCTTGCTGCAGACAAAATATTTTTTTTCTCTTTTTCTTTTTTTTTTTTTCTGTTTGTGCCAATGAACTCCCCTCACATTCCCGTCCACCTTCCTCTAGGTGCCAGCCACATCTCTCTGCAGCACCCGCTGGCAGGTGGCCCTTGGAGTGGGATGGGTCCCGCTGGGTCCCTCCTGGACGGAGGTAAGGTGACGCTCTGGCAGCCAGCAGCAAAAGAGACACCCAAGTTTCATTTGTTCCACCCCAAAATTCCCAGGCAGTGATGGATTTCTGGTCAGGGATTCCTTAAATTGCCAACTCCTTTGGCTGTGGCAGGTTTTCCACAGGCAAAATGTTTCCAAAATTCCCTTTATGGAATCAGTTCCTCAGGGGATCTAATCCTGGACAGGTGGGATCTCAGACAGGAAATTTATTAACTTTATTTATTTGGTGTTCTACATCCCAGAGTTTTTGTAGTCCATTATCATCCTTAGCTGAGGAGGTACTAAATTTCCTGGCTCAGTTGCTTGTCCTTGTTGGAATTCAGAATAAATATTTACAGCCCTGAGTTCAGCACAGCAGAAACTCCCAGGTTTTCCTCCAAGTCCATGTTATCTCTTGGAATTAAGGAAGAAGGTGCTTTAGGGCTTGTCTGAATCAGGGCTTCGGAGGCTGGTCCAGTTTCGAGGAATTTAGTGCTTTTTTTGTGCTTTTTTCATACTTTTATTCCACAAGAAGAATGGGAAGTTCAGGACTTCAGAGTCCCTCAGGTCGCTCAGAGGGAATCTTGCTCCTGGAGAAGAAAACAGCAAATTCCTTAGAGCCTCATCTTGCTCCTGGAGGAGAAAATAGCAATTTTATCCCTGATGCAGTGAGAACGGGGCTGGGAATGTGATGGATCCATATCCACATGCCAGATCCTCCCTTCTTGTTTTGCTGGGAACGTGGAGCAGAGGCACGAGGCCTGGCTGGAATCACGTTTTCCCTCCTTGCTAGGCCGTGGGTTTGCTTTCTATAAAAATCTGCAGCAGCTCTAAAAAAATCCCCTCGTGCTCTGAAACCTTTCCTGTCGTGGCTTCATTCCCTCCTCTGGCAGTGCTAGAGAATTCCACGTGAGCCAGGATTTCAGGAGCCTGATCTTTAGCTGGGATTTCGCTCTGGGGAGTTCAGCACCCTCTGAGGTTCAGGCTCTGGTTCTGCCAGGCTTTTCCAGGCTCTGTGGTTCCTGCAGCCTTTCCTGGTGTTTCTCTTTGCACGGAGCACTCAGCTGGTGCAGGAACATTTTCCAGGCTTGTTTTCCTTCCCAATCTCAATGGTTCGGGATTAGGGGCATGGGGATTGAAGCTCTGGAGTTCTGGGGGGACAGACTGAGACAAAGCAGCAAGAAGGTGAAAGCAGAGAGAATTCCCAAGGCTGGCGGGGCATCCCTCAGGACGCAGGGGATGTGCCACCCTCAGGGGATGTGCCACACCTCTTCCTGCAGGAGCGATTCCTGCATTGCTTCTTCCTTCCTTTCTCCCATTTTCCTGACTGTTTTGGTGGGGGCTGAGGAAGTTTCCCTGCCACGGACACCGTGGACAAGCGGCTTCATTTTGTCACTTCCATCCCTGCAAGTGTCCCAGGCCAGGCTTTGGAGCACCCTGGGGCAGTGGAAGGTGTCCCTGGCCACAGGTTAGGAACAGGATGAGCTTTAAGATCACTTCCAACCCAAACCAGTCTGGGATTCCAGGATCCATGGATTTCTTGGATGGAATCAGACAGCTTTTAACATTCTTTGGCCAAGCAGGGAAGCTCTGTAGGAAAGGGAAGAGCTGTTGGGAAGGTGGATGAGCCAGCGGCCGATGCTTTCGGATGAGATCTGGCCCAGCCCTGTCAGCTGATGCCTTGAGAGGCCACTGGAACAGAGGCTGGGCAGAGTTAAAGGAATAAAGTGGGGATTTATTAAAAAGCCTTCAAAGGATCACCTTGGGCAGTGCAAGAGCCTGGCTGAGGCTGCACCCAGGATGGTGCAAATGGACCCAAAACGGACACAATATAGACTCCAAGTCACGAGTTTTCACCCTTTTATAAATTTTGGTCCATGTCCACATTGGGGTTAATTGCCCAATCACAGCTTCAGTTAATGAAGTCCCATCCTCCCAGTTTGCTCCATCAATTCGCTGTTTACACTTTCTGGGCCTGAAGCTGTCAGGTGTCCTTGGTTCTGGGGCTGGAAGGGATTGTTTTAACAATCCTTTTAGTCATTATCTAAACTGTGAGGAGAGCTCGCTCCCAGTCCAGGTGAAGTCCAGAGTTATCCCAGTGCAGTGCAGGGTCTGGAAAACACGAGAGCTGAAACTTAAGGCATCACAATAAAAACGTGCCCAGTGACAAACGAGTGATCCCAGAGTGTGACCAGCGCTGAAAGCAGAGTGGTGACACCGCCCGAGCTCGTGCCACGCTGTCTCTGCTGCTGCTCCGCTCCAGTCTCGTCACAATCCCGTCACAATCCCGCAGGATTGTCCCCAACAGCCCCAAGTGCCGTGGCAGTGCTGCATGAAGGGCAGAGCGGAGACACAGCCACCGTCAGGGGCTGAGCGGGGTGCCATCCCCCCTGTCCCCGTGCCATCCCCCCTGTCCCCGTGCCATCCCCCCTGTCCCTGTGCCAGCTGTGTGCGTGTGACGTCCTGCACAGCCCTGTCCCCCAGGGCTGGCACTGGGGCTGTGCCTGGCGCTGCGGGGCCGGGGTGTTAAAGTGCCCTTGGTTTGTGCCCTCTTGGCCCTGCAGGTCTGAGCAGTGACAGCGGCCTGGGAGGGAGCACCGATGGCAGCAGTGACGTGCTGGTGTTCGGCTCCGTGGTGGACAGCGTGACCGAGGAAGGTGGGTGGCACCGGGGAAGGTGGCACAGAAGGTGGGTGGGTTGCACATGGGAAAGTGGCACACAGGAAGGTGAGTGGCACAGGGAAATGTGAGTGGCACAGGAGGAAGGTGGGTGGCACAGGAGGAGGAGATCCAGCTGGAGTCAGGCCTGAGGGGTTTTGAGGAATTGTTTTGTAAAATCTAACTTTTCTATCAGATCAACAACCTGAGTCCTGCCAGAGGGCAGGGATTGATGGGATTTTGGGAAGGAATTAGGGATTTTGGGAAGGAATTTGGAATTTTAGGGAGGAATTTGGGATTTTGGGGAGGAATTCTTCCCTGGGAGGGTGGGAGGCCCTGGGATGGATTTCCCACAGAAGCTGTGGCTGCCCCATCCCTGGAAGTGCCCAAGGGCAGGTTGGAGCAACCTGGGATGGTGGAATTTCTCTGTCTGTGGAATAAGATGAGCTTTGGGATCCCTTCCAGCCCAAACCAGTGTGGGATTCTGTTTTCTCACTGAATTTCCCCTAAACAAAGCCAGAGCCCCCCAGATCCCGGCAGGCCCAGCTTAGGCAGGGTGGGTGACCAGGATGCCATTGGGACCACCAAAAACAGGGTGAGAAGCTTTGGCCTGATGTCTCCCACCTTTCCCCGCCTGGCAGAGTGTGAGGTGTCAGAGGAATCCAGCGGGGAAGCCGAGATCGAGCAGGAGGCATCGGATTTGGAGGATGTGCGGGAGCTGCAGCCCGGGCTGGTGATGTACCGGGCGGCCCGGGCGCGGAACCTGCCCCTGATGGCCGAGGCGCTGGCCCACGGCGCCGAGATCAACTGGGTCAACGACGAGGACGAGAGCAAAACGCCTCTGATCCAGGCCGTGAGCGGGGTGCGTGCCGCTGGGAAACCGCGCTCGGGATGGGAGGCTTTGGAGAGCGGGAATCATCCAGTCTGGCTGAACTGATGTGGAAATTCCCTTTTTTGGAATTGTTCCGTCTGACATTGATGTGGAAATTCCTTTTTTTGGAATTGTCTAGTCTGGCTGAGTTGATGTCGAAATTCCCTTTTTGGTGTATGGAATTGTCTGGTTTGGCTGAATTGACATGGAAATTCCCTTTTTGGGATTGTCCAATCTGGCATTGATACGGAAATTCCTTTTTGGGAATTTTCCAGTCTGGCTGAGTGGATGTGGAAATTCCCAGTTGTCCAATCTGGCTGAATGGATGTGGAAATTCCCTTTTTCCCCCTTTTCCAGGGCTCCTTGATCGCCTGTGAGTTCCTGCTGCAGAACGGGGCCGACGTTAACCAAAGGGACTCTCGGGGCCGGGCGCCCCTGCACCACGCCACGTACCTGGGGCACACCGGGTGAGTGCCAGGCTGGCACATTCCCGCCTGGAATGGAACCCGCAGCTGGAATCACGCAAAAAGTCTGGGGGAGGTGGGAGTGGGGGGAATCGATTTGTAAAATATGGATTTTGGTGCGTGGCAGCAGCTTGGAGCTGGCAAAGGGCAGGGTAAGGCAGGATATTGGGGGAAAATCTTTCCCTGTGTGGCTGGGAAAGGGCTGGGATGGAATTCCCAGAGAATTTGTGGTTGTTCCATCCCTGGAAGTGCTCAAGGGCAGGTTGGAGCAACCTGGGATAATGGGATGGGTTTTGGGATCCCTTCAACCCAAACCAGAGGAATTCTGTGTGTCTGGAATTCTGTGCCTCTGGGCCTGGAATTCTGTCCCTTGGGGCTGGCATTCTGTGCCCCTGGCACCGTGTGGCTGAGGCGCCGCTGTCCCCAGGCAGGTGTGTCTGTTCCTGAAGCGCGGCGCCACGCAGCACACGCCCGATGCCGACGGGCAGGACCCGCTGAGCATCGCCGTCAGCGCTGCCAACGCCGACATCGTCACCCTGTGAGTGTGCCTGGGAAATGGTGCCGGGAAATAGTGCCGGGAAATACTGGGAAACACTGGGAAATATTGGGAAACACTGGGAAAACACTGCCTAGGAACTGGGAAACATTGGGAAACACTGCCTGGGAACTGGGAAACATTGGGAAACACTGGGAAACACTGCCTGGGAACTGGGAAACATTGGGAAACACTGCCTGGGAACTGGAAAATACTGGGAAACACTGCCTGGGAACTGGGAAACACTGCCTGGGAACTGGGAAACAGCGGGAAGCAGCAGCAGCAGGGGAAGGAATAACCAAAGGCTCCCCCGCCGTGTGTCCATGGGCTGCAGGCTGCGGCTGGCGCGGATGAACGAGGAGATGCGGGAAGCGGAGGGGCCCTTCGGCCAGGCTGGCCAGTACCCCAGCAGCAGCCCCACGGAGCTGCAGTATAGGAAGTGCATCCAGGAGTTCATCAGCCTCAACATCGACGAGTGCTAGGGACAAACCTGCGTCCCCTCGGCCGCCCCCGAGCCGGGCTGGATCCCTGGAGAGCCCCGTCCTTGGATATTTGGTGTTTTCCTTGCAGATTGGTCTGGTTTGGACGCCTGCGGCCCTCGGGTTGAGCTGCCCGCAGGAAGGCCGAGGGCCTTTCCCCGTCAGCTTTGAGTTCTCATGCTTGACTACTGGATGGTTGATTTTTTGTTGTTGTTGAGAGCCTCCCAGGGCATAACCACGGACCATGGGATGTGTGTGGGGAGTGTGTGGGAGATCGGTTTAAACAAAAAAAAAAAAAAAAAAAAAGGGAAAAAAATTTAAAAAGAGAAGGAAAAACCCTCCTGTGGCCAGGAGGGAGCCACCAACACCAAGAGCAGGCAGAGCTGTCCCTCGACAGCTGGCTGGGAGTTCTGGCAGGGAGTGTGGCGTGGAGCCTGCTCTGCCCCTGGGAGGCCCAGGCTGGTTTTTGGGGCAGGGATGCTCCGAAGGCCCAGCGGAGCGGGATCGGGATCGGGAGCTCTGGCTCCTCACCCTGCGCTGCTCTCAGGACTAACCCAGCCACGCTTCCCTCGTTCGCTGCCCTGGGTGCTTGGCTGCTCAAAGCCATAGCTGCCCTGCTTCCTGGGAGGATTCCCACCCCACAGGATTTCCTGGAAGCAGCAGCACTGATCCCTGCAGCTGGTAGAAGCTTGTCGCTGGCGATGGGCTCGGGGCAGGGAGGGGAACCAGCTCAAGCTGCTCGGTGCAATTTCACAGAATCTCAGAATCATGGAATCCCAGAATTCCAGGTTGGACAAGACCTTTAAGATCATCGAGTCCAACCCAGCCCTAAAACCTCAACTAAACCACTGCCACATCCAATCTTCTTTTAAAGACACCAGGGATGGGGAATTGGACTCCACTTGCTTCTCTGCTCCCTTCAGGTTTCCGTGGAAGAGAATTCCACTCGCATGCGTCCCCTCCATGCTCTCTCCCTGCATGCTGGAGCAGCTCAGTGGCTTTGGAGCTCCCCAGTTCCTGTTCCCAGCAGGATTCTGATGTTTCTCTCCTTTTTCCCGCGGGGCTGCAGTGAGGGAACGTGGTTCTCCTCGGAGCCCTTTGGTGCTGGCTCGTGTCTCATCCCGTCTTGGGAGGGTTCAGCGAGCGCAGGCGCCTCTGGAATCCTGGCTGGAGCCTTTTCCCAATGTCCCCAGTGAGGATTTGGGGGTGACATCCCTGCCTGGGCTCCAGGGTCAGGCCACAGTGCCTTAGGGATCATCCTGGGATCTCCAGGGCCTCCAAGGAAACCACGAATCCCAGGCAGAGTTCCCCACCCTCCTGCCCTCCAGCGGCAGATCCACAATCCTCTGATTTCCATCCCATCCTCTCTGGAATTCTTGATGTTTTCACTGCCAGGCTGCTGCCCTGCTCAGAAGCGTCAGCAGGGTTTGCTGCTGGGGCTGGAATTGTGTCCTCAGGTTCTGAGGGAGCAGCTCCTGACCCTCAGGACTCACCCAGCAGCCCTCGCTGTCCTCCCACACCAGGCTTTCTCCTGGCTTCAGGCAATTCCTGCTTCCTTAGGAAGTGCTGTCCCAGGTTTTCCTGCATTTTCTGGTTGTGCGATCCCCGTTCCAACTGGAGCTTTGGGATGAGCAGTTCCAAGGGCTGAGCTCTGTTCTCAGTCCCAGTCTGGAACGGTCCTGGCAACTCTTCGGCTCAAAATCTGACCCCAGGGCCTCCTGTGCTTCCATGGATCAACAACCTCCTGATCCTGGGGAATGAAGATTCCCCCTTTTTGCCTGTCCAGTGCCTGGGCTGGAAATCTCTGTGGAGCTTGGGCAGGCAACGCTCCCTTGGAGCCTGGGAGTGGGAAGTGGAGGATGAGTGGAGTGCTCATCCCTGCCCAGCTCCAGCACCCTCGGGAGCAGCCCTGGCATGGGGCACGAAATCCCATCCTCGCTGCAATCCCATTGGCGAGGGAGCGGGATGGAGAAACCCCGGAATTCCCAGCTCTGGGAGCAGAGGTTGTAGCTCTGATTTGGGGTTCCCCTGGCTGATTCCAGCTGTGGCACAGCTGCTCCGGCCTCTCCTTCACTTCCCACAGAACATTCCCAGGATCCAGCACCTCCTGGCCCCATGGGCGGTGGCACAGCCCTGCTGCTCCCCGTGCCTCTCCTGGGCAGCTCCTGGAGCTCATCTCTGGCTCCTCAGCTTTGGGATTTCTCTTCTTTCTGTCCCAAATCACCCCCAATTTCCATGCCCCCCCTCTCCTGAGCAGGGCGGTGCCATCCCTTGGCTGTCGCTGCCACCTTCTCCTTCCATTCCAGCCTCTGGATCCTGCTGGTGCTGCTGCCATTGCTTTCAAAGTTTCAAAAAGCCAGGTTTAAAAGTTTCAAAGCCAGGGTTTCAAAGTTTAAAAAAGTCAGGGTTTAAAAGTTTAAAAAGCCAAGGTTTGAAAGTTTAAAGGGTTTGAAAGTTTCAAAATTAGGGCTGAGCAATGTTCTGTAGCCCTGGCACAGCTGGGATGGGGCTGGAAGTTATGGTGCTGATCCTGCTCCTAAATCCAGCCCTAAATCCAAGTCCTGCAGCCCTGGCACAGCTGGGATGGGGCTGGAAGCTGATCCTGCTCCCAAATGCGGCCCTAAATCTGAATCTGCCTTCAGCAGGACATCCCCAGAGCCGTCTGGACCGCCCAGCCCAGCCCCTGGAGAGCTCCAGGAGCCAAAATCTGGCTGTGGTCCCTGTAGGGAATTCCCTCTTCAATCCCACCAGGATTTGTGCCACTCTCCATCGCTTCGGGCGTTTTTTGGTGCTCATCCCCTCGAGTCATGCCCTTCTCACGCTGGAAATGTTTCCAGGCTCCTGCAGAGCTCTGGAGAGCCAAGGGGAGGTTTCACCCCTGCCACGGTCCTGCTCTGCTCACAGATTTCAGCATGGTCATTGTTGGTTTTTTCACCTGTACAGCGACTTCAAACTGGTTTTCAAACCCCCTCTGGTTTTCCCAGCTTTTAAGGAAGGAGTTAAAAACCCGACTGATCCTTTCTGTGAGCCAAGAAGCACAGCTTCCGCTTTTGGGTCGTTTTATTTCACTTTTTCTGGGAATTCTGGCCAGAAATCCTGGCTGGTTTGCACCCTGGAAGCTCAGACTCACTGCTGAAGTACATGAAGTGGAAAGAAAAAATGTAAATATCGATGCAAAAAGCGGCGTCTTGCGAGACAATGGATTATTTAACATGTATTGGTACTTTTCTTTTAGAGTCGATGTATAAAAGCGACTTGGTGCACTTTTCCTACCTGACAGTATTGGGGGGTTTTATGTTCTTTTGTTATGGGTTTTGTGCTGTCTTTTTTAAGCCGTGAAATTGTTAAGTATTTAATTTATTCTTATTATTGATGTGCCCAGAGGACTAGTGCAATTTTTATTCAATACAGTTGGTCTGTATTTAATGTCAGGATTTTTTTGGTAGAGTTTTTAGGGAATATTTTTCCAAACCTGCCTTTTTTTCCCTGCCCCCTCTTTTCCTCATTTTCCTTTCTTCCCCCCTTCCCCTTTCTGTTTTCGTCACGCAGCTCCCGAGGCATGAAACGCCTCGGATTTGAGATATAACCCAACGTCCTGCAGTCCCTAAAACCAAAATTTCTCCAGGAAAAACACGTTAAGGATGCACTTCTCCCTATTTGCTGTGTTTCTTTGCTTTTCATTTCTCCTTGGGGGGTTTGTGGAGGGGTGCGTGCTCCGAATTTCAGCGCGGAAGGTGCACAGAAAATTTCATTTCGGCGAAGGAAATGCATTGCCAGGCTCTGAGGAAGATGAAAAAAGGAACATTTTGTTGTTTTTCCCGCCTCAAACGCAGCTGGATTCCTGTTGTACCATCCTGGTTGGAATATTTGCTGCCCCAGTCTGCTGGTTTTCCATTTTTCCATTCTCCCTTTTATTTTTCTGAGGGTGTGAGAGTGTTGTCTCTGGATTTAACCACATTTAACAGGAGGAGTTTGCCTTTGTCTGCAAAGCAAAGTACCCAAAGCCTCCTCAACCACCAGGATCCTCCATCCTTGGAATTTTTTGGGATCTGGGGGAGTATTTCTGTCCCAGCCCTCACTTTTAGTTGCCCCAAGTGCCTGGACTTGGATTGAGTCTGGGTTTGGATCTCTGGGTTTGGCTCTCCGGGCTCTGTCCCCGATTCCAGCTTGGATTTCAGCTCAGCTTGGATTTTCTGTGAAATCCAGGATCTTTCCAGCTCATTTCAGCACTGCTGCCTCTAAGCTGGGACATTTCTTGGAGTATTTTGAAGGAAAAAAACCTCCGTGGGATTGGAAGATTTTATGCCTTTAACCAAACCCCAGGTCTGACAAGCTGAGCTGCGGCCCAGATGGAATTATTCATTGGGAAAGGCCTCTGAGATCATCAAATGAACAATGCTGCGGCTTCAGAGAGAGAGCTGGAGGGAGGATTTTGGGATCAAGGGATCAGGAACATCTCAGAGCAGCACAAACGCTGCGATTTGTGCAGGAAAGGCCCGGGAGCTCCTCAAGGAGCGCTCGGGGCCCTGCAGGGCCGAGCCTGCCCCAGCGGGGCCGGGACAGCGCCAGGGGAGGGCTGAGCCACGGCCCCCGGGAAAAAAGGGAAATTTTACATTTGGAGAGGCCGGGATGGATAAGGGATGTTTCCACAGGAACATTCCCACCTCCCTCCTGGCCCCTGCCAGGCAGCTGGGGCTGTGGCCGGAATTCCCGGTGGGAATGCGGCAGGGCTGGGCCTCAGGGAGGGGGCGCCGGGCGGGGCCTTCGCTGAGGGACGGAGCGGCCGGGAAGGCTCCTGGGCCCGGGGGTGGCACCGGGACAGCGACCGCGGACACCTGGGCTGGACAGGACTGGGTTGGGCCGGGCTGGGCAGGGCTGGGCTGGGCTGGACAGGACTGGGTTGGGCCGGGCTGGACAGGACTGGGTTGGGCCGGGCTGGGCTGGGCTGGGCTGCCGCGACCTCGTGTGCCCACAGGGGGGATGGGATGGGGACAGGGCAGGAGCAAGGACAGGGCAGGGACAGGGATATGGACAGGGATGGGACCGGGCAGGACAGGGATGGGACAGGGATATGGACAGGGATGGCACAGGGATGGGGATGGGACAGGGATATGGACAGGGATGGGGATGGGACAGGGGTCACTGCAGGGACAGGGAGAGGTCCTTTGGTCAGCTCAGAGATCCTTTTTGGCCAGCTCAGTGGGTTTTTGACCATTTCAGAGGAGTTTTGACCAGCTCAGAGGATTTTTTGACCCACTTAGAGGGTTCTTGACCAGCTCAGAGGTTTTTTGACCAGCCCAGAGGGTTTTTTACCATTTTGGAGGATTTTTGACCAGCCCAGAGGGTTTGGGGCCAGCTCAGAGGGTTTGGGGCCAGCTCAGATGGTTTTTGACCATTTTGGAGGATTTTTGACCAGCCCAGAGGGTTTGGGGCCAGCTCAGAGGGTTTGGGGCCAGCTCAGATGGTTTTTGACCATTTTGGAGGATTTTTGACCAGCCCAGAGGGTTTGGGGCCAGCCCAGAGCCTTCTGTGGCCAGGCCAGAGCTCGGGGGCTCTGCCCTCGCTGTAAATAAACTCTCACCCCTCCCTCCCTCCCTTTGCTCCAGGATTTTCAGCCCCTCTCCCCACAGCCTGTGGGCACCTCTGGAAACCCAGAAATTCTCTCTGTAATGATCTTTGTACGATCTCAAAGCTCTTGCTCTGCTCTCTGCCTTTTTTTCCTCCTCCCTCTCCCTTCTCTAGTATCTTGAAGCACTGTTAATAAAGATCTGGAGAAACTCCTTCCCTCCTCTTCCTCAGCTTGGTTTATTGCTGGAGGGTTCCTTCCCCTGCTGCCTGGTTGAACAAAAATCAGCGTTTTCTAACATTATTTTAACATTTTATTTATTTTACACTACAAACATTACATTTCTTTATTTTTAACCTTATTTTAATGGCATTTTTTAACCTGTTTTCCTTCTCCAGGCTGAGCTGTGGGGCACTGCATGGCACAGAAAAATCTGCTTTTTTGTTTTGTTCTGTTTTTGTGCTGGGGTTTCTGTGACTCTCTGGTGATGGTGATGATGGGATTCCTTTCTGTGGGTTCATCACCAGGAAAAAATGAATTTCAGGAAAAAAATTCCCCCAGAAATGTGAAATCAGGGCCATCATTAATGGCATGAGGGTGCTTAATTACCCCCAGAATTGCAGCACAAACCATCCCTGCTCAGGAGATTCTCTCCTGAACTCTCTGCCTTCCCCTGAGGCAGAAATTTTGTTTTGTTCCTGCTCCAAGCAGCTCTGAAAAATCTGATTTGACCTGAGCCTGGGTTGATCCCCTGCCCTGGCGCTCATTCCTGGGGGATTTTGTCACTTCTGGGGGCTGGATTTTTGCTGGAAGGTGGAAATCTCCATTTGGGGCCATTCTAGGCACTCAGGGGTGATCCTAAAACAGAATTTGGGGTGAAACCCAGGGTTGGTTCAGGTCATTTCAGTGTCGTTGCCTCTGAGATAGGAAATTTCTTGGAGCATTTTAAGGGAAGAACCTCTGGGACTGGAAGATTTGGTGCCTTTACCCAAGCCAGGGGTGAGGAGCTGAGCTGTGCCAGGCACCAGAAGGAATTGTTGAGGTTGGAAAAGACCAAGCCAGAGGTTCTGGAATAAAGAGGAGTTTCCTAAACTCAGAATTCGGGCCCAACCTCGGTGCAGAGAATTCTGAGTGACCTCTGGTTGGGATTTTGTGCTTCCACCACCTCCAAAACCATTTCATCCCATTGAATTTGGCCTGTCCCGCCCCTGAACTGTCCCCATTTCCCATCCCTGTCCCCAATTCACATCCCCAATTCCTGTCCCTGTCCCCAATTCCTGTCCCCTATTCCTGTCCCCATTCTCATCTTTGTCCCCAACTCCCGTCCCTGTTCCCATTCCCATCCATGTCCCCATTTCCCATTCCCAATTCCCATCCCTGTTCCCATTCCCATCCCTGTCCCCAATTCCCATCCCAAATTTCTGTCCCTGTCCCAGATTCCTGTCCCTGTTCCCAATTCCCGTCCCTGTCCCCATTCCCATCCCTGTTCCCATTCCCATTCCCATCCCTGTCCCCGTTCCCATCCCTGTCCCCGTTCCCGTCCCTATCCCCATTTCCCATTCCAAATTCCCATCCCTGTCCCCATTCCCTGTTCCCATCCCTGTTCCCATTCCCATCCCTGTCCCCATTCCCTGTTCCCATTCCCATCCCTGTTCCCATTCCCATCCCTGTCCCCATTCCCTGTTCCCATTCCCATCCCTGTTCCCATTCCCATTCCCATCCGTCCCCATTCCCATCCCTGTCCCCATTCCCTGTCCCCATCCCTGTTCTCATTCCCTGTCCCCATTCCCTGTCCCCATCCCTGTCCCCATTCCCTGTTCCCATCCCTGTTCCCATTCCCACCCCTGTTCCCATTACCGTCCCTCCTGTGCCAGACCCTCCCTGGCGCAGGAATCGCCCCCTTTGGGCTTTCCCGGAGCGTTGGATCCCCCAGCCCCAAACTGGAGTGAAATTCCTTCACTCACTCCTCCCAGGAGGAAATTCCCTGACTTTTTATGCATTGAGGATGAAGTGAATTCAGCCAAGTTCAGACTCCAAACTCCAGATTTGCCTTTGCCTGTTCTGCCTTCCTGGCGTTCCCGGCATTCAGAAATAAAATGGAGGCAAAATGAGTCCCAGGGATGAGCGGGAGGCAAAACCAAGCCCAGCCCAAGCTGGGCCCAGAGCATTTTATTGTTTAAAAAATGATAAAATCCCCAAATCGGGGCTTTCCCACCCCCTGCGAGGCTCCAGCAGCCACAGAGACCCCGCCGGAACAAAGCTGGGCTTGTTTTCTGTACAGAAAAATCACTGCCAATATTGACATTATCCCTGGTAACATCATCAATTAATAACAATTAGTAACATTATCTCTGTTAACATTATCAATTAATAACAAATAGTAACATTATCCCTGGTAACATCATCAATTAATAACAATTAGTAACATTATCTCTGTTAACATTATCAATTAATAACAAATAGTAACATTATCCCTGGTAACATCATCAATTAATAACAAATAATAACATTATATTTGTCAATATTATCAATTAATAACAAATAGTAACATTATCCCTGGTAACATCATCAATTAATAACAAATAATAACATTATATCTGTTAATATTATCAATTAATAACAAATAGTAACATTTTCTCTGGTAACATCATCAATTAATAACAATTAGTAACATTATCTCTGTTAACATTATCAATTAATAACAAATAGTAACATTATCCCTGGTAACATCATCAATTAATAACAAATAATAACATTATATCTGTTAATATTATCAATTAATAACAAATAGTAACATTTTCTCTGGTAACATCATCAATTAATAACAAATAGTAACATCATCTCTGGTAACATCATCAATTAATAACAAATAGTAACATCATCTCTGGTAACATTATCAATTAATAACAAATAGTAACATTATCCCTGGTAACATCATCAATTAATAACAATAGTAACATTATCCCATGTAACATCATCAATTAATAACAATAACATTATATTTGTTAATATTATCAATTAATAACAAATAGTAACATTATATCTGTTAATATTATCAATTAATAACAAATAGTAACATCATCTCTGGTAACATTATCAATTAATAACAAATAGTAACATTATCCCTGGTAACATCAACAATTAATAACAAATAGTAACATTATCCCTGGTAACATTATCAATTAATAACAAATAGTAACATCTCCATTAATATTATCAACTAATAACAAATAGTTACATCATCTCCATTAAAATTATAAAATAGCAAATATTATCTCCATTAATATTATCAATTAATAACAAATAGTAACATTATCTCCATTAAAATTATAAAAGAACAAATATTACCTCTGTTAACATTATCAATTAACAACAAACAACATTATCTTCATTAACATTACAAAATAACAAATATTAACATTATCTCCGTTAACATTATAAATTAAAAACAAATATTAACAAGATCTCTGTTAACATAAATTAAGAAATATTAACAATTATCTCCGGTAATATTATCAATTACCAACAAATATTAACAAACATTATCTCCATTAAAATTATTAATTAACAACAGATATTAATAATTATCTCTGTTTACAGTAATTACGGTCAAATATTAACATTATCTCCATTAAAATTGTCAATTGCCAACAAATATTAACATTATCTCCATTAACATTATCAATTAATAACAAATATTAACATTATTTCCATTAACATTATAAATTAATAACAAACATTAACAATTATCTCCATTAACATTATTAACAAGCAGGAACATTTTCTCTGTTTGGTGGGAATCCGCTGCTTTTCCTGGCACCCAGAACAATTCCCAACCCCGGTTTTAACTCTTTATTTCCCTCTGGAAGAGTCAGACTGGGAATTTCCTGGAGAAATCCAAAAGCATCTCAGCAGCCTGGAAAAGCTGCAGGAAAGGGAGAGGGCAGGAGGTGCTTGGGAATTCTGGGATCGGAGGGCAGGAGATGTTCGGGAATTCCGGGATCAGAGCCCAGGAGGTGTTTGGGAATTCCGGGTGGGATCAGAGCCCAGGAGGTGTTTGGGAATTCCAGGTGGGATCAGGACAACCCTGGATGTGAATCCCAGGGGCAGGGAATGGTTTGAGTTAAACCCATCCCATTCCAAGCCTGTTCCCCATCCCACACAATCCTTGGATTCTCCTGGAATTCCCTCCCTCGGTGAAACCTGTCTGGGCCCGGCCCGGCCTCAGAGTGAGCTCCTCACCAGGGCTTGGGAATTACAGCTGGGAACAGCCTTTGGAGAGGATTCCAGGACTCCCAGAGCGCAGCTCCCCCTGCCCAGGCGTTCCCTGGGAGCCAAAACCTTGGGATCCAAAACCTTGGGATGCAAAACCTCGGGATGCAAAACCTTGGGATGCAGGACCCAGGGATGTGCAGTGGGAACCTGCAGGGGCTGGGGGAGCTCAGCTGTGGATCCAGGACTTCCCCGGCACCTTTCCTACAGAATTAAGGGAATTCCAGGCATTTCCATGCTCAGGGAGCTCCCAGAGAGGATCCAGGACATCCCTGTGACTTTTCCAGCAGGATCAAGAGAATTCCAGGCATTGCCAGAGCTCCCAGCTGTGAATCCAGGACATCCCTGACTTTTCCAGCAGCATCAGGAGAATTCCAAGCACTGCCACCCTCAGGAGAGGATCCAGGGTGTCCCTGGCACATTTCCAGCAGGATCAGGAGAATTCCCAGCATTTCCATGCTCAGCTGTGGATCCACAATGTCCCTGGCACCTCTCCAGCAGCATGAAGGGAACTCCAGGCATTTCCATGCTCAGGGAGCTCCCAGAGAGGATCCAGGACATCCCTGTGACTTTTCCAGGAGCATCAGGAGAATTCCAGGCATTTCCATGCTCAGCTGTGGATCCAGGATGTCCCTGGCACCTTCCCCAGCCTCAGGAGAATTCCAGGTCTCAGTTCCTCACTCCCGTCCCAGCTCCCGGCTGCTCCCGAACCCCTCCAGCTCCAGCTCCGGGTGCCGTGGGAGCCCCATTCCTGATCCTCGGGCTCCCTGCTGCCCTTCCCGGGGCTCCTCCTGCCGCTCCCCGGAGCTCTCCGGGGCCGGGGGCCGCTCCGTGGCCCGGAGCCGGCGGAAGCAGCAGAGCAGGGCCAGGACCAGAGCATCGGCGAGCAGCTCCAGCACCTCGAGCACCGACAGCACCGAGGAGCCAAACCACAGGCTCCACTGGCTCCCCATGCTGGACAGCAGCAGGTTCTCCTGGAAAAAATTCCATGCTTTTATCGGCAGAGTTCTGGGAAAGGGAAATCTGCTCTCATCAACCCTGTGGGGTTGGAGAAAAGGTGAAATTCCCAAGGGTTTTTCCAGAAAAATCCCTCCCTGCAGCCAGCCCAGCAGCCTGGAATGGAGGCAGGGACAGAGCTGGGGGTGGAATTCCAAGAGGAAAAATTCCAGGGTTGTGGTGATTAGGACAGCAGAGCTCTGGGAATGGGAATTCTGCCATTGTCACCCAGAGAGAATCCATGGGGTTGGGGAAAAGGTGAAATTCCCAAGAGTTTTTCCAGAAAAATCCCTCCCTGCAGCCAGCCTAATAAATTAATAATTAATAGTATCATATAAATAAACACAGATTTTTATATCACAAAATATAAATATAGATATAAAAATAATTAATAATTAAAAATGAAAATTTAGAATTAATATTATCATATGAATATATATTTATATATCATAGAAAATAAACAGAAAATAAATAATTAATATTTTAATTAATACTACAATATATATTTATATATCACCAAATAAAACTGAAAGTATAATAATTGATATTATCATATAAATAAATATAGATGCTTATATGTCATATAAACATGAAAAAATAAAATCTAATAAGTAATTTTAAATTAATAGTGTCATATTCATAAATATATATTTTATATCACACACATTAAGAATAAAAATACAATATATTAATTAATAACTAATAATATCATATTGATAAATAGATATCTCTAGATATATAAAAATAAGGGGAAATGATTAATTTCCAGGCATTAATCCCTCCTAAAATTCAGGAATTCTGTTGGAAGTTGATGGGAAAGGTTGGGACATACCGAGAGCAGCGGGGCCTCGTGCAGGGCCTGGGAGCGCAGCTGCCGGTAGAAGATGGAGACCTTGGCGAGCTCCTTCCTGCAGAACAGTGGGAATTCCTGCTGGAATGGGCATTCCTGGCCAGATCGGGGCATTCCCAGTGGGAACGGGGCATCCTGGCTGGAACGGGGCA